AGCGGTAGGAGGAATGAGAGGATTACGAGGTCACAATAAGACTGACAACATCAAGCGTGCCAGGAAACGCTGTGGATATGTGTGGCTTGATTGATTTGCCGTGGGAAGAAGCGAAACGCAGTGCATACTTGATTTCTGTAGTTTCCTGGTTTGAGGGCTCAGAAGGGGCGCTTGAGGGTGGGGGACGCGGTGAACACTGAACCCCCCCAAGCAGCAACACAACAGGAAACCAAACACACATAGTGCTTTGTGGTTTCCCAAGCTCAAAAATGAAACAACCAAACATGGGCTCGAAATGTCTGGCACCGCCGACCGCGCCTGAGAAGCTTGCGCACACGGCGCTCGTAACGGATGGGCCGAGCGAACTCCTCCTCATACTCCTCCTCGTCCTCCTCCTCCTCCTCCTCCTCCTCCTCCTCCTCCTCCCCCTTCCTCCTCCTCCTCCTCCTCCTCCTCCTCCTCCTCCTCCCCACTCCTCCTCCTCCTCCTCCTCCTCCCCCTCCTCCTCCTCCTCCTCCTCCCCCTCCTCCTCTCCTAAGCGCCGGCCAAAAGGGCCAGAGGCGTGCTAAGATCTCCCGTCACAGATTAACATAATTTCTAGTTCGCGCGCGCGGCGGCCCCTGGGGACCCCAGGACGAAAAAAAACAAGGCCGATGCCCCGCCGATGCCCGGGCGACGCCGGGCTGACTCCCTCAGGGCGCTCCAGGAGCGCGACAAGAGGGCGCCGGGACGCCCCCTACACGGCCCAAGAGGCCCCGAGTCGCCGAAAGATCGTTTCAAGACGCTCAAGATGGTCTCCAGATGGCCGCAGAGGCAGCGAAAAAAACCCAAGAGAGCCTCAAGAGGCTCTCCAAGAGCCCCATTAAGCAAAAATCGTCTCATTCTCTTCGGAGAACGCACATCTTTCGCATGTGCGACGTTTGGGGGTTCACAGCGTCCAGAACTGCCCCAGAGGCCTCCAACATCGTCCCCAGACGACCCGACACGCCCCCAAGATGGGCCCAAGAGAGCCCAAGAGGGCCCAAAGACGGCCCAAGAAGCCTCCAAGAGTGCCCCAGGACGGCCAAAGATGGCCCCAAGACAGCCCAAGAGGAGCCCAAGACGGCCCAAGAGGGCCCCCAAACAGCCCCAAGAGGGGCCCAAGGAGGGGCCCAGGAACCGAAAAGTCCAGTCTTCAGCCCCGAAAGGCCCCCAAGAGGCCCCAAGAGCGCGCTTCTTTATTTTCGGCGATCATGGGCATTAAGGGGGGGAGAGGGCCTGGGGGAGGTATGATGTAACGCCTCCCCCCGGCCGTGTGGCTCCGACACCACAGCCGCGCCCGCGCGCACGACTACGATGAGCGACGAGCGACGAGCGACGAGCAACGACGACGACGACGCGATCAGCATGTAGGTGGCGACCTGCCCCACAAAGCCTGTGCACACCACAATGCTCGCGTGCACCACAGCACGCGTGTACGCCACAACTCCTGCATACACCGCAACAGCCGTGTGCGACGCAGCGCCTGTGTACATCACAGTGCTTGCGTGCACCACAGCGCCGGTGTACACCACAGCGAATGTGTAACAACGCAGCAACCATGTGCTACACAGCGCCTGGGTACACCACAATGCTCTCGTGCACCGCAGCGCCTGTGCACACCACAGCGCCTGCCTACACCACAGCATCCGTGTGCACGCAGCGCTGGTGTACACCACAGTGCCTGCGTGCACAGGACAGGTAGAACGAGCATTTAGGTGAGGATCTGCTGCGGACAGCTAAACGCCACGCCAGGAAAGTGCTGATAATTGAATGCGACGGTCTTCTCTTCTCCCTCCTCCTCCTCCTCCTCCTCCTCCTCCTCCTCCTCCTCCTCCTCCTATGCGGACGCCGATGCGGATCCCGATGTGCACGGCGGCAGTGCCCGGAGCGCACTGGGGGGGGGAGGGGCGTTACGTTAGGGGGGGGTGGAGGGGGGGCCGGGGGCTATATGCCCATTATGCCCCAAGCAAACCAGAAACACGCTCCAAGAGGCCCCCAAGAGGCCCTAAGGGACCCCCAAGCGGCACCCCAAAAAGCCCCAAGAGGCCCCCAAGAGACCCCAACACGGCCCCCAACACGGCTCCCACGAGGCCTCACTCCCAGAGGCCCCCGAGAGGCCACCCACGAGAGCCCCACCAACATCAACGAGGCCTCTGACCCACCACCCAGACAAGGTCAGAGGCGTGCTAAGATCTCCGGTAACTGCTTCACAATATTTCTACTTTGCGCGCGCGGGACGGCCCCTAGGGGTCCCTGGACGCAACGTGCCCTGGCCAGGTCCCCGGCAGGGTCGGGCCAGATGGTTTTCCTCCTCATTTTGAAAACGGCCCGCCCTCCATATGTGAAATTGTGGCCAAATTCGGTATTTTAGAACCATACATGGTGAGGAAGTCTCAGGCGAAACGCCCAGCCCGCCCTAAAAACTGGCATCGGGGTGCGACAGGGAGAAGTGACTTATAAGGAGAAAGAACGGAGGAGGAGTAAGAGGAGGAGGAGGAGGAGGAGGAGGAGGAGGAGGAGGAGGAGGAGGAGGAGGAGGAGGAGGGACGCCACTGCCCGAAGTGGAAAGGGGGAAAGCAGGGTGCGGGATCAGCCCGCATGCCGTGGGGACAGCGCCCTGATTCCAGCATAGCCTGGCCGATGCTCTGCCCAGATCGACGGGCAGGCGGCAAGCGGTGGCCCGCCGCGAGCGGCGCGCTGTGGTCCGCAACCGCGCCGACAGCAAGTTCCGCGCGACGACGGGCGAGGGGGGGCAGACGAAGAGCGGAGAGACTGGAAAAAAGCAATGGAGGGCACCGAGAGCAATGGCAGCAACGGGCGTTCGATCAGAGTCAGCGGTGCTGAGCATTGCACCTCTCGTGGCAGCTTTTAGCATACGAGCTCTCGCATCTATGTCAAGACGCCGAGCCTTCACTCGGTGCCCCAAGGCTGTCACATCATACACGCTGTCGGGGGGGAACGCGTGCCGCGGGCAACAGGTGAGGAGGTGGGGCGAAACCTTGGCAACGGCAACAACACGTCGGGGAGGGGAGTGGACCTGTGCACCGTGACCTACCACCAGGATAACATATGTGTTGAAAGCCCCGAGGCTCACCGAGAGGCCCTGCTTCACACCCTGAATCCTCAAACTCCCCTTTAAGACGCACCAGGACGGGAACCCAGGACCGTTCTCTGCTTCCCACGCCAACTCCAAACACGAAATACAACCCACACTGTGTGACAATAAAACGCCGAGCACAGACACCAACACGTTTACCTAGTTCAACCGCTTCACGAATCGTGCCGAGGTGGGGGGAAACCCGCTGGCACTTCTCAAGGTTACGGATAAGGCCTGTCCCACGGCCAACGTCACACAACATGCGCAACATGCTCGGTACGATCGCGACCAGGTCCACGCTTGTGGCACTAAGATCACCAGCGAATGTATTCAGCGAGGAGGAGGAGGAGGAGGAGGAGGAGACGAACGAGGAGGACGCGCGCTTGGAGGAATGCTATGAACGATTGAGCTGGGTGGTGAAGACAATGAGGATGAGGAAGGGCCACTTCTCGTCTTCCTGTGTCTGCCATCCCTCATCTAGGGGGCCAGATGCGAACCCTACCCCTACCCCCCACGACTTCTGGGGGGGAGGGTGGGGTTCACCTCGTTCGGGAGCTCCCGAGCGAAGCGAAACCCCCCCCCCCTTCAGAAATTGTGGAGGGTAGGGGTGGGGTTCGCATGTGGCTCCCTATCATATTCCTTCTTCTCCTTCTCTTCCCCCTCCCACCTTCGTATGAGTCCTCCGCCTCGCTCTCGCGCTCCTCCTCCGCCGCCTGCGCAGGCGGGCACATGCCTCGGGCGCGGGCCCTCGGCGCCACGGAAGGCCGTGGGGTGCCTGGTCTGGCCATGCTGTTTTGGAAAGGGTTAGGGGGCCAGATGCGAACCCTACCCCCACCCCCCCACGATTTCTGAAGGGGGAGGGTGGGGTTCACTTCGCTCGGGAGCTCCCGAACGAAGTGAACCCCACCCTCCCCCACAGAAATCGTGGGGGGTAGGGGTAGGGTTCGCATCTGGCCCCCTGGGGGTGCCGTGGGGGAGGCAGCGGTGAGCTGCTGGAGCCTCCCAGACCACCAACACCCGTGCGAAGTGCGCCTCTGCTTCCCAGACCAACGGCCACCGAACAGGACAGGCAGGCTCAGTAATTGGCGCCCTCGGTGCCACGAAACGCTGTGCATATTTGGCTCAAAATGCTTTGGGCCGCTGAAGCCGTGGAGGATGAACGTGCGCAGGCCGAGGGACGATGAGGACGAAGTGAGGGGGGAAGGAAGAATGTGAGATGGGACAGAGACTGGGGAGACAGCGAGGGAGAACACCAACGACAGCATGGATATCTGGCGGCAAAATAGGGCCTCACAATGAATGACACCTCGTCGTTCGGCTTCCACTCTTTTCGCTGATCCTCCCCTCCCGTCGGGGGAGCGGCGCAAAGGTTGAAGGACGCCCTTCTCATCGTCCGTTCTCATCGCACGCCATCCTGTCCTCCGTTCTCATCGCACGCCCTCCCTTCCTCTTTCTCTCCGCCCTCATCATCCAGCTCATGTCCCACTTGCACCTCATCCTGCTCCGTTTACTGCTGCAGCATCTGATGTTTTTGCTCATCCTCATGTTCACCCTCAATGTCATGCCCATCCTCATCGTCCTCATCACTCCCTCATCCTATTTAACATCATCCTCATCCCTGTCACCCATCCTCTCCGCTGCTGCTGTTCCTCCTCCTGCTCGGAACAGTCATCGGGTCCTCCAACCTCCCTCCCACAACGGCATACACAACAACTGCCTCGCGCCTGTCCATGGACAAGCACGGGACAGCGAGGGATGAAGGTGCGAAACCTCGAGAGCCACGGCGAGATGGGAAAATGGAAGGGGGGGAAAGGCGAGAGTGAGGGGCGTGGGGGACCAACTAGGTGCGCTGGCGCCACATCGGACGCCGTACCACTCCATCCTATCCCTTCTCATTACGTTGAAACCTGTTTCTATCTGCCGACTGCGGTGTCCGAGATGACGTTGATCCCCCAAAGGCAATTGCAATGTTGAGTTATCTTTTGTTGCACAATCGAGCAAGGGGGCGTGGCTTCGTACACGGGAGGAGGAGCAGGAGGAGAAACAGGAGGAATGAGCAGGAGGTGGAGGAGGAGGAGGAGGATCGGGAGGAGGAGCAGGAGCAGGAGGAGTAAGGGGAGAAGGAGCATGGAAGGCGGAGAAAAGCACCGAGGGGGGGAAACAACGACCCGGAACGACTCGAACTCGAAACCATACATGTGGCCCGCTCTTGTGCGAGAGCGCCTTTCTGAGCGACGGGAGCATAGCACCGATCTTCACAAGTGGCCAATGCTGCACCAGGACCCTGGGTCGAAACAAAACAACATTCAAATGCGAGTGAGGGCGCCGAACGGTAATTCATGCCCTGTGCCTGGGTGCTCGGCTGGAATGCGGATCCACGGTGCGTTTTCGTGATCTTCATGTTGCCGGCATCGTGCCAGAACCCACCCGCGACCAGTGCCCGCCCCACCCCCAACGCGCCCCGCAACCCACCCGCGACCCGCCCCGTGCCCGCGACCCACGCGCAACCCACCCGCGACACCCGCCGCTTTGCAAAACAAGGCGCGTGTGGCAGGCGCGCTGCGCAATGCGCTGAAAGATTGCGCGGCCCGCGGCGAACATCTTCATATCTAATTTCAAGCCTCGGAGACAGCCGACGACTCCATCCGCCTGAATCTTACGTGCAACTTTGGGGGCTACGGCATCATTTGGTCATACCCCATGTGTGTGTGGCAACAATGCGAGAACGAGCCAGGAACACACGGGGTTGGACAGGGGGAGGCGAGGGGGAAGGGAAAGAGGATGGGGAATGAGAGGGGGACGGAAGCGGGGGGCGGGGGAGTGAGGCGGAGGCGACTGCAAAGTGGAGGGGCCAAGAACTTTTGCGAACCAAGACAAGAAACTGAACAACTGACGGATGCAAGAACCGCCTCAACGTCAAGCAATCTACTTTCTCGTACGTCGTACGCGCAGGCCCGACCTCATGACATCACTCGCAAGGCTTTGAGGCGAACACTGGCCAAACAAAAACACGGAGGAGATGGACCTGTGGATGCCCAGACCCCCGACGACCTGCTGTGTTCCCAGCGTGGGCCCCTGGACCTTTCGACCCACTCCTGGTGGCATGTCGTTGTTCGTCTGGGGCATTCCTTGATGGCCCCGTGTTGGCGGCGCGCCGAGGGGGGTAGGGGGAGGGGGGAGGGCTTCTTAGAAGCACCCCCGCTTCTTAGAAGGCGCGAGCCTTGTCTGTAAACGGAAGGCTCGCTGCTTCTAAGAAGCAGCCTTCTTCTAAGAAGCCTTCCCCCCTCCCCCTACCCCCTTGTGCGCGCCGCCAACCGTGGCCTGACAACGGTATGCGGCTGGCGCAGATTTGCAAGCACCGGCGGCGCGACTCTTCCGAGTCGCCAGCTGCCTGCCCCTGGCTTCAGAAAAGACCCGCATGCAAGTCCTGGGGCGCGGTCTCATTAGGATTCAGGAGGGAATCCAGCCGTGGCCGCGGGGCAGGAGGCAACAAAGAAGGATGAGAAGGAGGGTGGAGAAGGGGGGAGGAAGGAAAGAGCGGAGAAAGACAGAGAAAGCAGGACAGAGGAAGGAGGGATGATAAGAAAAGAAGGACGTGGGGAGGAGAAGGAGGAGGGAGCAGGAAGGAGGGATACAAAACAGGGGAGGGAGGAGGGAATGAGCAGGGGGAAGGGTGTGGGTGTATGGGCACACATGCGGAGGCAAACGCCTGTGTTCGAGGCCGAACATCATCAGGCAACAACTGACGTGAATGCAACCTTTGCCAGTGCCTTCGGTGAGCTTCTGCAGCTACAGTGGGGAAACTGGCCGCGGCGGACGCCCCAGAGGGCGCACGTCTCTCCCGAGGGCAGCCCGTGCCCCAATCGCGAAGAGAGCACGAGCCACGACCTGCAGGGCACGAGGACACGGGCCGGCCTGCACAGCGGCCGCTCCCGACGGCACGAGAAAGGCGCGGGGCCGGCAGCTGGCCGGAGGGCCCCTCTCCAGGCTCGGAGAAGCTGGCGGTGCCGTGCGCGCCGGCTGGCGCAGGGAGGCCGAGAGGTGGGGGCCAGGCCGGCCCTCGCCTTGAAGCAGGCCGATGGTCGGGCATTCCGCCGCTTGCCGTCGCTCGAACGTCTGGTGAGTGTTTGTCACCCCTGTGTTTTGAATATATATATATATATATATATATATAAATACACATATGTATAGTATATTCCTTCTCGTATTGCGGTGGCACGACGGTCGGCTAAAGGCTGAGGTGAGCAAGCACGCAGACGGTGCGCGCGAACATGACCAGTCTGGGGAGGAGGGAGGAGAATGAGGAGGAACTCAAGCCTGACCCCAGACGGCCCACCTCCCTTTGCCACAAAACCGAGGTGCGACAAGCTGGTTCTATGCCAGATTGGATCCAGCTCATCCGAAGCATGCCGGGCAGTCTCATAACCATTCTTGCACCGTTGGCCACTCGAGCTTTGGAGCATCTCAGAGACGAATTCGGGCAGCAAGTCTTTCACAACGCCATTCGTGAGCTGGAGAAGGAAACCAAGCTCGAGGGCCGTAGACCGAAAGAGGGCGAGGACCCTTCCACGAGCGTCCGAGACGAGCCCTCTACAAGAGGCAAAACAACGGACAACAACAACCGGGCGCGCATGTGTACGTTACCAGCTGTCACGTGTCATGACTCGCGCCCATCGGTTCTCAGGATGCCGGAGCAAAGTGTTGCAGGGGAGAGACTTCGGCCGCGCCTCTCAGGCAGCAAACAGGAAGCGCCGCCTTCCAGACCATGAGATGGAGTTTCCAAGGCGTCGATTTGCAGGTCCTGCCATCAAATCGCTCGCTGCTGGTCAGGCGGCGGAACCCGTGATATGACCAATCATCAATAACGCAGACCCCGGATGAGCAGGTAGTTGATAAGGTTTACGAAATACCTGAGAAATCAAGACATCGGGGGCCAGTGGTTCTCTATTTGCGGGCGGGGCCGATCTGCAGGCCTCTTCAGCAGGCCCTGACACGGCTTGCGACAAATCTCGAGGGCTACACCGAGAAGGGTGACCGGCAAGTGGACACCACTGGTCAGGCGTGGACGCGTCGCAGGTTCGTGCATGGAGATGCCCACGACTTCCTGGGTCCCCCCAGCGACAACCAAATTCGCGGAGAGCTCAACACAGCTCTGCGGGTGTCTCTGGAACGAAGCGGAGCTCTGGGGAAAGAGAGGCCTTGCGCCACGTGAACGAGTGGGTCAAGCGACGATGTTGCGGTCAGATGCTGTCAGCTTTATCCACGCTGCCAAGCTGCGAGGATTGTCATCCAAGCTTGTTCGCGCAAGTGCTCGCGCAAGATGAACTAATAATTGGAAACGAAGGGTTCCAATTCCGTAAGGGCTCCACCGTCCCTTCTACCTCTGATGCGACGTTTGGGGTGTTTGGGAACATGAGTGACATGGTTGCTTGAGAGATCGGACTCGAGATGGGCCCACGAGCCCAAAAGGTGCGTCCTCGACCGTACGCCGACTTTTCGGCTTCTGGACGCGCTCCAGACGGGAGCGCTACAGACCTGACCAGCCTCTACATGGTGAGCGGCTACCGAGGAGAGTGAAATTGACCCCTGACCGTGCTCCCCTCTCGCCGTCACTGCCCTTCTCTGCCCGGCTCCTCTCTGCAACCCGTACTCGGGATCGGCAGCGCTGGTCTGATGCCGTCAGGCCGTCCGTGCGTGCGTGCGTGAGGAGCAGGATGGCAGAGGGACAAAGGAGGGAGGCGGGGAGAGGTAAAGGAAAGGGGGGAGGCGGGGACGAGCCGCCCAACTCCGCTCCTTGTGGAGGAACACGTCGCACCCGTGCGCCTCGACCATCTCGGCGCACGAGATGAAGCCGAAGCCCTGCGCCAGGTAGCAACTACAAACAAGGGGGAGGCCTTCTCAGAAGGCGGCGCGGAAGCCCTCGTGCCTTCTGAGAAGCTTTCTGCGACTTCGGGGAAGGCTTAGAGAGCTTCTCAGAAGACATGGGGGACGTCCGAACCTCCTGAGAAGGCCCGCCCCTTCTCACTCCTCTCCGGGCTCGCCGCCGAAATACAACTCGACCCTAAATATTGAGCCCCGACCCATGACCAAGATTATAAATGGAAAGCTTAAGGCCCGCCTCCACGCCAACCTCAACGCTCTCACAGCCGCGGGGGGGATCTCCCCGAATCGACGCAAACACGTGCATCTGCCAGGTCTGACCTCGCTCGGCAAGCGCCGTCGACAGGAGCACTCGGAGTTCGGCCCACGCTTGAAGTGCACCCGCACACGGTCCTCTGTTTTGGACCCCGAAATGGGCACGGAAAGAATGGGTACAATGCCCAACAGCAAATTTTGTCCCAAACCAACAGCGGCCGCTGTTGGGCAGGCGGCCTCCTGTCTCGAATGGACACAGGCCGCGGCGGCGTGGACAGCGAGCCCTGTTCAAAATGAACAAGATCCGCTGTTGGGCATTGTACCCGTTCTTTCAATACCCATTTCGTGCGTGCAGACCTGCAGCCGTCACCCTCCGGGCGGGCCCGAGCCGCCCGGCGCTCTCTGGTGGAGGCCGTCTCTCCGGAGGAGCTCCGAGGAGGTCTTGCGGGCTCGGGCCACGACGCGCGCAGCCTGCGCCAATGAGGGTGGGGAGCCCAGGGGGGGGGAGGGAACAAGGCCCCGAGGGAGACGAGTCTTAAGTCGGGCCTGTCCCCCTACAGGGGGATTTTCGACGAAAAATCAAAAATGCCCCAAAAATATCCCAAAATGACCAACAAATACTTTACAAAAATAGTCCCCAGACTATTTTTTGAGTAGTTTTCGGCTATTTTTTGAATATTCTTAATTTTTCGTCGAGAATCCCTCTGTAGGGGGACACGCCCGACTTCCAACGAGTCCCAGACCCCGGGGCCTTCCCCCATGACCACCTCCTCCTCCTCCCGAGCCGCTGCCCGCTCGCCCCCTCGAGGCCCGCTTCCCCCCCCATGGCGAGGATGGGAGGGGAGGAGGGGGGGGGACCAAGAGGGAGGAGGGGGGGGCGCAAATCATGGCCGGCGCCACGTGCGCGGCCCAGGGCGGGGGCCAGGGACGTATCGCAAGAAGAAGGGGCGGGAGACATCATGGCCCCCGCCATGAGATCCCCCCCCCCTTGTCATCACCCCCCTCCTGGCCGCCACCGAGGGGGAGGGGAACCGGAGGCGAGGCCGCCGCCAGAAGCGGAAGAGAAGAGGTCGCCTCGACGCACCCGGCGCCGCCGCGGGAGGGCCGCAGTGGCCACCACGCCGCGCCGGCTGGCGGTGCCACACCGAGCAGGGCCCTCGGGTCCGAGTCGGCCAACCGAACAGACCGCCGCCCAGCCGGGGTCCACCACGTCAACCACAGAGCAACGGCGTGGCCGCTCAGTGCGAAAACGTTGGAAGCGCGCCCCGAGCGCGGTCAGCGACACGCATGGATGGTGCCGCAACACTTACGTGTGCGTCCCCTCCTGTCCCTATCCCATCCATCTCCTGCGTGGATCCGTTTCCCTTCCTCCCCCTCACATCTCCGCTGCCTTCCAATCGCTTTCCTCCCCCTCTCATTCCTCCTCCTCTCTCGCTTTTCTGTCTGCGTGCTCAAGCCTTTCTCTGCGATCCTGCAGGATGAGGAGTCCAAAGCCGAGAAAAAGGAAGAGGACAAGAGAGCAAACATACGAGGACGCCTCCGACGAATGAGATGATCAGGACGAGGATGCTGGACGAGCCACCACATGCTCTTCAGGGTACATACGAAGGCCGTACGAAACTACGAAGCTTGCCGCACAACTTTCGGCAGAGATGGGCCTTGAGCTCGTTGAACGATTTCACCACACCATTGAACCTGCCGTCGCGGGGGCTCCGAGCTGAGCAGAGCATGAGGGCGCACGCGTGATCAAGACATCACTGGTGGCATACACGATGCAACTCAGCCCAGTCACGAGAATGCACGGCAAGTACGCGACGCCCCTCGGCGTCAAAGTTCCTAAGGATGGACCGAGAACGCGAGGATGCAAGTGCACTTACCCTTGGGGATGCACCTCATCCTTACTGGGGGCCCCGACTGTCGCTCACCGCCGCTATCGCCTGCCGACTTTACCACAGTCGGGCTTGACTGGACAGGACACGTGAGAGGACACTAGATCTTTCCGAGGGCCACATCGCCATAATCTTGTAGGGGGCATGGGTCGCGAGACACAGGACACAAAGGGCACCCTTGTCGTGGCAAGGTCGACCTAATTACGAATCAAGGCCGACGGCATCTCACTCCGCCGAACTCCGCGGCGTGCGCGGGTCGACTCGCTCGGAACCTCTCCCGTCCCCCGTGGCCGCCTCGGGCCAGGCCCCGCCCTCGAGAGCTCTGCCCCCCCCTTCCCTGCGGCCACGTGGGGCTCTCGAGGACCAGCAGCCCGAGGTGTGACCCGACACACGTCGTAATAAAAATCGACAGGAAACGACTCCCTTCCCTGGGGGCTGGCGACCCCCCTCCCCCCTCCCCGAGGCAACTCGGGCGATGCTGGCACCACTTTGGGCCATCTTGGAGCTCCTCCGGCCCACTGGGGCCCCCTCGGGACCAGCCTTGGCCAACTTTGGCGCTCTTGGGACTCTCCTGGGCTGCGCTGGAAGCCCTGGGGGCCGGCCCCGGAAGCCCCGGTCAGCAAAAAACCCCCTGGGTATCTGCCCGGGTGTTTCCATTCTCGCCGCATCCGTCGCAGGAGAGTCGAAGACGCCCCGAGGAGCCCCCCCCCGGGACCACCCCGAGACTGCCCAGCTGCCTCCCAAGATGGGCCTGCGACGCCCCAGGTGAAGCCAAAACAGCGCGCCACCCCCGCGCTGCTGGAGGCCGAGTCTTCACAGATGAGCCCAAGACCCCCCAATGGACCCCAATTATCCCAAAGATGCGTCCAAGTGAACCACAAAGGGCTCCAAGGAACTCTCCCCAAAACCATCCAAGCGCTCCAAACATGCCTTCAAGGCCTTTACGTGACCCAGGTGCAGTAGCGGAATTGGCGGAAGGTCACCAGATGTTCTGACTGCACACCCAGCCACCTCAACCCGACCCGAAGTCGCTGTTGGGCCTGTCAATTTCCAGCGGGGGGGTTGGGACGGCAAATTCGTGTCGTGCCAACTTCGGCGTTGGTTCCTGACACCGCGGGGATCGTTCAACCTTGAACGATCGGCCGTTTCCGAAACGTCAGATCCTTCAACATCGACCGCTTCTGGGTCGCCACCGCGGGCGTTCAAGGTGGGGTCACCGCTGGTCGACACGACGCGATCCCACTGTAGTGTTTCTCGCCCTCGCATTGAAGCCGGCCCTGCCCCTGGCCCCTTGACCCCCGGCTCGCCTTCGCCTCTTGTGCACAGGGCTGCGCCCTTCTCAAGGGTCGACGGGCCGCGCGGCCGTTGCGATCAAACCCGTTACCCCCGGTGCTTGTGCTACGGCCGAGGTCGGCAAACTCTCAGAGTACACCACCCAAGACGAGGGGGCTGCATGAGCGCCGACAGCTGTGTCGGCGCGAGCTGCTCCAGCCCCGTGACATGAATATGCACAGCATCGAGGGATTTGAGGTGTCACGTCATGACCTTCCCCAATTTCCTCTGAGGCATATGCGCAAGACGGAGCACGACGTTCAGCACGCACTGGTAAAGGATATGATACCCCCCGCGCGGAGAAACCACACATTCGATGATCCCATGTGGCCCATACCCCAGCCGCAAATTCAACAAAAACACGGTCCTCCCACGTCCCTCCCACGTACCTCTCCGCTGAGAGCGATCTCTGCCAAATCTCCACCCACTCGGGTCAGAGCGTTGCGAATGTGTTCTTTCCGCGTTTCCTGGTGTGTGTATGTGTGCCAATGACGTGTGCGAGTATAAAGAGCAGCGGGAGCCCGTCACCGCGACTGCACGGAGTGAGCATGTTAGGATGCTCGTCTGTTGTCTGGAAGGTGTTGTTGCGTTTTCAATTGCCAGCACCCCCCCTCGACATGCGCGGGGTTCGAAAACCGCCACCCTGAAATTGCTCTCTGGCGGTCTGTTCGGCTTCCAGACGGCCAAGATGGCCTCCAAGACGGCTTCCGAGATAGCCCAGATGAGAGTAAGACTACTCAAGAGGCATCCAAGACGGCCACACGACGGCCAAGGAGGCTCCTCAGTACGGCCCAAAAGGGTTCCACGACTCCGTCCAGGAGAGCTCGGAAAGGTCAAACGCATTGCTTGTCTTTCGGTGTTTGAAGGATGTGTAGGTTCTCGACTGTTTCGCTTTCCGACCGCCCCAGACCGCCCAAGAAGCCTCCTAGATGGCTCGAAGGCAGGCCATGAGGCCCCTCCAAAAGGTCCCCAGGAGGCTCCCGGGAGTCCCCAAGGGAGTCCCTAAGAAGCCTTTCCCTCCTCATCATCATTTTCTCCCTCTCCTCCTCCTCCTCCTCCTCTTCCTCTGCCTGCTCCTCACTACCCCGCGGACAATGAGGTCGAGACCACGATCCCCCTCAATTCAGACCGCGATCGCTTGAATCCAGCGGGGCGTGAACTCGACCTCCCCCTACCGCACCAGCGAAGACGAGGTGAGTTCACGACCCGTCCCAGTTCGGACCAGTCGAAGGAACAGCGCTGTTCGTTCACCAGTCTCCTTCCTCGTGCGGTGTTGCACAGGCACGGTGTCGGGGTTTGCCGCAGGCAGCAAAGTAGGGACCCCCGACACCTACAATTCACTTACAGTTCCCGCTGCTCAGCAGCCGAATGCGGCCTGGACTTCGCAGCTGCTGTTCTCCATTTCCAGTCCCTTTTCCTTATGAATAAGTCCTTCCTCCATGTCGCACCCCATAAACGTGTCGGTTGGGCGGGCAGAGCGCTTGGTCCGAGACTTCCTCACCATATCTGATCCGACAGCTTGACGTTTTGCAGCCGTGTCACGGATTGAGGGCGGGCAGATGAAAGCTGGATCTCGCCTGAGCGCCACGCAGATTCGTCGCACATGTTCGCAACAGGTCTCACGTATGGAGGGCAAGTGGTGTTCAACATGTGGCTCTGTAGTTAATCCAATACCCCTAAGATTCACAGGGTGGGGATAGTAAAGTTGAGGGTCCAGGGGAGATAGTCAACTTTTCCCCGGCAGGTCGCAGCATAACAGACGTGGAGGAGATGGAGATGTTGATGTTGTGAATGATAGTAATGATGTTGTTGCTGATGATGATGATGCTGATGATGATGATGAGGGGGAGGGGAAGGGATGGAAGGAACATGTAGTTGCAGTCGTAGTAGTACCAGTAGTAGTAGTAGTAGAAGTAGTAGTCGTAGTAGCAGTAGTAGACGTAGTCGTTGTAGCAGTAGCAGTAGTAGTAATCGTAGTCGTAGTCGTAGTCAGTAGTAGTAGTAGTAGTAGTAGTAGTAGTAGTAGTAGTAGTAGTAGTAGTAGTAGTAGTAGTAGTAGTAGTAGTAGTAGTAGTAGTAGTAGTAGTAGTAGTAGTAGTAGTAGTAGTAGTAGTAGTAGTAGTCGTAGTAGCGTAGTCGTCAGTAGTAGTAGTCGTCGTCGTCGTCGTCGTCGTCGTCGTCGTCGTCGTCGTCGTCGTCGTCGTCGTCGTCGTCGTCGTCGTCGTCGTCGTCGTCGTAGTAGTAGTAGTAGTAGTAGTAGTAGTAGTAGTAGTAGTAGTAGTAGTAGTAGTAGTAGTAGTAGGTAGTAGTAGTAGTAGTAGTAGTAGTAGTAGTAGTAGTAGTAGTAGTAGTAGTAGTAGTAGTAGTAGTAGTAGTAGTAGTAGTAGTAGTAGTAGTAGTAGTAGTAGTAGTAGTAGTAGTAGTAGTAGTAGTAGTAGTAGTAGTAGTAGTAGTAGTAGTAGGTAGGTAGGTAGTAGGTAAGGTAGGTAGGTAGGTAGGTAGGTAGGCAGGCAGGCAGGCAGGCAGGCAGGCAGGCAGGCAGGCAGGCAGGCAGGCAGGCAGGCAGGCAGGCAGGCAGGCAGTAGTAGTAGTAGTAGTAGTAGTAGTAGTACTAGCAGCAGTAGCAGCAATACAAGTAGTAGTAGTCATCGTAATAGACGTAGCAGTAGTAGTAGTAGTAGTATTATTAGTAGTAGTAGTAGTAGTAGTAGTAGTAGTAGTAGTAGTAGTAGCAGCAGTAGTAGGGGTAGTAGTAGTCGTCGTCGTCGTCGTAGTAGTAGTAGTAGTAGTAGTAGTAGTAGTAGTAGTAGTAGTAGTAGAAGTCGTAGTATTAGTAGTTGTTGTTGCTGGTGGTGTAGGGAAGGGAAGAAGGAGACGGGAGGAGGGAGGGAGAAAGCGGGGGGAGGTAGTTTGAAACAAAAACAACGTTGAGCACCTATCAAATTCCGTTTGAAAACCTATCATTTCAGAAAGATGTTCACGTTTCGTGTGGGGAAGTTCATTTCGGACATTGTCCGACGATCATGAAGCCCAACGGTAAAACAATTCGCCCGTGTAGGGAGGGATGGTAGTAGTCCTAGTCGTAGTCGTAATCGTCGATGTTGAGAAGAATGATGACGTGGCCATACTAGTCGTACCGGTAGTCGTAGCCGTCGTAGTCGTAGTAGTTTTCGTATGATTAGTAGTAGCAGTAGTAGTAGTAGTAGCAGTAACATCAGCAGCAGTAGTAGTAGTAGTAGTAGTAGTAGTAGTAGTAGTAGTAGTAGTAGTAGTAGTAGTAGTAGTAGTAGTAGTAGTAGTAGTAGTAGTAGTAGTAGTAGTAGTAGTAGTAGTAGTAGTAGTAGTAGTAGTAGTAGTAGTAGTAGTAGTAGTAGTAGTAGTAGTAGTAGTAGTAGTAGTAGTAGTAGTAGTAGTAGTAGTAGTAGTAGTAGTAGTAGTAGTAGTAGTAGTAGTAGTAGTAGTAGTAGTAGTAGTAGTAGTAGTAGTAGTAGTAGTAGTAGTAGTAGTAGTAGTAGTAGTAGTAGTAGTAGTAGTAGTAGTAGTAGTCGTAGTAGTAGTAGTAGTAGTAGTAGTAGTAGTAGTAGTAGTAGTAGTAGTAGTAGTAGTAGTGGTAGTAGTAGTAGTAGTAGTAGTAGTAGTAGTAGGATTTGATGATCATGGTGATGATGACAGTGATGATGCTGATGATGATGCGGTAACAATATTCAATCTGCGATTTGCACTTTCCCCGGTGATGATGAAGCTCGGCCCCGCCGCTCCCCACCGCCCACCAAAACTGTATTGGCCAGAGATATCACCACTCAAGTCTTCAGGGGGAGGAGCGCTTTACTATCCGGGGCATGCGGTTAGCGCCGCGTGCATTTGTTTTGAAAGTTTTGGACCAATTTCAAGGATAGAGTGCGGGTGGTTTTCCATCTGTGGCTCTCGCCTTAGCACCGCTGGAAAGTTACCAACGTGTCATGGATTTGCATTGTCGAAGTGCGGAGGACTTTGTTCTGGCAAGATGTGGGATTGTCAAGACGCAAGAGTCACGTTGATTCGCGGCGGTGGGCCTCTCAGAAATGCTGGTGCGGTACGACTCAGGGCTGTCACGACGCAAAAGTCACCTTGATTCGCGACGCTGAAGTCCCAAGACTTGTTTTTCGACACGATTTAGGGTTGTCAGGATGCAGCAGTCACGTTATTCGCGACGCTGCAATCCCAGAAATTGCTCGCCTTTTGTCACGATTCGGGACTCCCAGACGGTTATCTCCCCATGGGGCATTTCCCGCAACGGAAACAAATGTTTTAAGGCCCTATGAAGAGGGAACTTGGAGAGAGGGTTTATTGCAACATCGTTGATGTGCCTTGGGTTTGCACGGGTGCCCTCCTCCCCCTCCCCACCATCTCCTCTCGAGGGGCACGAAAAGGTAGGATCGCAGAGGGCAGGGTAGAGAATCAGCTCCCGAAGCTGATTTTCCTGGCGCCTCCTGGCGCCGGGAGGCGCCCATGCATCGAGGAATGGGCCCGGCGGCGGCGCGGAAACCACCCGATCCGCGAGCGGCGATAATAGCCGCAAACTCGGAACGCCTCCGAGGTACCCGGGCAGCTGCACGCGCGCGCGCCCGCCACCGCTCTGCGCACCGGGGGGGGGCACCGCCGTGCCGCCCTGAGCGGGCTTCGAGAGCCTCGAGCTCTTGGAGGACAACGACGGGAATGGGAATGGATGGCCAGGGAGAGGATCGGGGGGGACGAAAGGGTACTCCGAGTTTCTTAATAAGCGTCGGGGGGGCCGTCACCCCCGCCGACAGCCCCACATCGACCCTCGTCGCGGGCAGCCGCCGCGCGCCGAAGGCGCTCCTGACCCCCGTCGTGGCGCGACGGCGAGGCGAGGTTGACTCCCGTCGGGGGGGGTACCCCTTCCACGCTTATTGAGAAATCCAGAGGAGGATGACAAAGGGCAGGGTAGAGAGTCAGCTCACGTGGCTGGTTTTCCTGGCGCCTCCTGGCGCCGGGAAGGCACCCACGTGTCGAGGCATGGGCCCGGCGGCGGTGCGGAGATCTGCTGCCTGCCGCAGACTTCATGGCCCCCCCTTTCCGTATGTCCTACTCTGTCGTCCGGCCCGAGAGATAGGACGGATTCTTTCATCCTCCTCCTCCTCCTCCTCTTCCTCCCTCCTCCTCCTCCGCCCGAGAGGAAAATCCCCCTTTCCTTATCCTACTCTTTCATCGTTATCCGGGGGAGGAGAAAATGAAACGGATGGAACGGCACGGCCCTTCCATGGGAGGCCTCAGGGGGCACAACTCCGTCGCCCCAGTTCGCTTCGTTTCAAGTCGCCTCGAGGCGAATCGTCTGCTGCTTCCTCCAGGGTATGCGGTCATCCTCGCGGTCTCCTTCTTGGTCGTCACCACGTCCTCGTTTCATCGCGCTTGGTGGGACGAGTCCTCCATTGCTGTTAGGTGGATAGGACCTGCACCTTGGATCTGGACACTCGCGGATCCACTTCTGCGCTGTCGGCTAACCTGTATGAGAACGCTCCTTCGTCTCCGTCTCGTCGGCGGTCCTTGAACACTGAGTACGTTTCGTCACCTTCGGTATTCCTTCCGATCCCACCCTGGAGGTACTCTGGTTTGCTCCACCCCACATAAAGCGTGTACACGATTCTTGACCTTTCCTGCATCGTTGGTCGCCACCTCGTTTCTCTCCCACTTCAAATCGTCAATCGTGTCCAAGACCTCCGACGTGAAAACGAACCACTTCCGGGTAGTGAAAATTCGGCCCCTTCGAAGGCCGATCTGAAACCAGAAGCGCACTCTGATGAGTTTCCGCGTCGCTCTGCCATCAAAGTCTGCCCTTGCCGAGGGTAGCATGCTCCTGCCATGACACGACTTGCGAATAGCTGTGGGCTTTGACGGGAGTGTGGCGCAAAAAGTGGGAGCAGGCTGAATGATGTCACGTCGGTGTGCTGGCTATGCGTGGGCAGGGGGTGATTCCCTGCAGGCCGTGCCCAGATAATCAACAGTTGAATGGCCTCCGCGCAAATATCTTCCTCAGCGTCATCGGGACTCCTTGGTCTCGCTGGAGCTGCCAACAGGAGGGTCCAGGTCCACGGGCTCGAGTACCAACGATTGTCTATGTTGGGGCACAACACGGGGGGGAGATGGGACGTCCCGCAACGCCTCACCACATTCAGTAAGATACTGCACACCACTCAGATATATGCAACCGAAGGGAAGGTCAGGGATAAAGCGTGTTGTGTTTCTTGTTGTGAAGAGTTTCTGACATGGACGCACACACACACACGCTCTTACACTTTCGACATACAGAATCTAGCACATGAGGAGGGGCAGGAGGAGGGAAGGAGACGAGGGAGGCTTGCTCACTCCACGACAGAGATGGCTAGATGGCTGGTGCCGCTCTGGGACACGTACTGCTCGGCGAGGTGGCGCACGAGGAGGGAGGACGAGCGAGGGGGAGGGGGGAAAAGGCGGGAGGAGGAGGGAGGAGCCGGGAGGCGGGAGGAGGAGGAGGGAGGAGGGAGGAGGAGGAGGAGGAAGGAGGAGCAGGGAGGGGGAGGAGGGGGGAGGGAGGAGGGAGGAGGAGGGAGGAGGAGAGGAGGGGGAGGGAGGAGAGGAGGGAGGGAGGGAGGAGGAGGGAGGGAGGAGGAGGGAGGAGGAGGGGGGGAGGCGGGAGAGGGCCGGAGACACGCACCCGAGCGACCTCGGTGACCTGTGGCGCGCGGGGGGCCGCTGCGTGCGATGCGGCACTGTAGCGTGAAGTCGGGCCTGTCCCCCTACAGGGGGATTTTTGACGAAAAATAAAAAATACCGCAAAAATCGTAAACAAAACATTAAAAATACACCAAACATCGTAAAAAAATAGTCCCCAAATAGTCTGGGGACTATTTCTTGAGTATTGTTTGACCCTTTTGGGGCATTTGTTTGGTATTCTTTATTTTTCGTCGAGAATCCCCCTGTAGGGGAACACGCCCGACATAACTGTAGCGGCCTGGATGCTCGAGTTGGGTCCCATGCCCCCCCCCGGACAGCCGCGCAGCGAAGGTCACCCTGGCAAGACGTCGCTCTCACGCGCAGGCCGAGAGCAGAGGAACAACAAACGGCATACGCATACACTTTCGACGGTCCGCGCGGACCTCTTGGATCTGCGCTGGACCCCCCCTCCCTGGCGCGCGGAGCGCGCTGGGGCGGCGCCGGAGGCGCCGCGGGGGGGGCCCGGCGCGGAGCCAAGAAATCCGCCTGGAGCGCCAAAGGTTTCTGTCTGTGCCGTCTTCTTCTTCTTCGAGAGAGAGAAAGAGAGAGACCAGGGGGGCGTAAGACCCGGGTACAGGGGACTCGGAAATCCCCGACGAGGTCGTCAAAAAAATGACGAGGCCGAGCCTGCATTTTGACGAGGCCTCTCGCTGCAGACATCCCACGAAACTCCTACTCGTCAAAATCCGAGTCGCGGTCGTCAAAAAACGATGGCGAACCCGAGTCCTGGCAAACCCGGGTCTTACGCTCCCCCGAAGAGAGAGAGAGAGAGAGAGAGAGAGAGAGAGAGCAGGGAGCTGCCGCCAGGCGGGGCGAGCCGGGGGCCTGACTGGGGGCTGGATGACGGGCAGGTTCGCCAGGGCCGGCGGCAGCAAGGCGCGGGCGCCTGGGCCGGCGTCGCCGCCGGCCGCCGAGGGAGGCGTGTCCTGCCCTGGCGCTGCCGTGGTTCCAGGAGGCTTTGGGTGAGCTCTGTGCGCTCCTGCTGGAGCAGTTGCCCTTCGCGTGAGAAAAAAACACAAACTGTGGGAAAACACACACAGCAAAAACACACACTGGGGAGTCGGCGGGGGCGCTGCCCGCGACTCGGCTCTCGACAGGCTCGGCAGGCGGCGGAATGTCGCTCGAGGGCCCAGCGCACGGGCCTGGAGAGGTGTCGACGCCCCAGGATGCCGATGCACCAAAGCACACACACACACACACACACACACACACACACACACACACACACACACACACACACACACACACACACACACACACACACACACACACACACACACACACACACACACACACACACACACACACACACACACACACACACACACACACACACACACACACACACACACACACACACACACACACACACACACACACACACACACACACACACACACACACACACACACACACACACACACACACACACACACACACACACACACACACACACACACACACACACACACACCACACACACACACACAACACACACACACACACACACACACACACACACACACACACACACACACACACACACACACACACACACACACACACACACACACACACACACACACACACACACACACACACACACACACACACACACACACGCACACACACACACACACACTGTGGGAACAAAACGCACACAAACAACACTGTGGGAAAACACACACACACACACACAAAAACACACACTTCGTGGGACAAACACACACAACACACACAGCCTTCGTGGCACTTCGGTGCCGTACCGTGTGTTTCTTCGGGTGCTGGTGGCGATAGGCGCGTGCCAGGTGCCCTGACCAGTGCCAGTCAGGCATTGGTCATGGCGGATGAATGCATATTCGCTCCGCCGTCCACGTCCACAGATCGTCGGCACCGCCTGCAACAGCATGACCGTACGGATGGGCCTACACGTTCGACTGCCACTGGCACGCTTGTTGCAGAACGCCTACGCCAAATCAGAATGAAATCTCCCGACTGAATTTGGGAAGCTGCAGAACCCCTCAACACCTGAGCTTGAGAAATGACAACTCAACCTGACAGTTTGTTTTTTTGATGAGAGGGGGGCGGCAGAATGTCTGCTGCGCGCAGCCCGCTCACCCCTGCCAAGAAATATTCCAAAATTCACTTTGCCAGGGACGACAGGTGCGCACCCACACAATACATAATGCAGTCGGACCTAGGCCAAAAGAACAACCCTCAAGAACAGGATACCCTCCGACGGCCCAAACAAACAAAACATCCAAAGGTACCCAGGATGCACAAGAACATCCAAGAAACACGAATAACATTAGGTACCCTCCCCGAACCGACCTCGATCTTACACCTCGGGCCGACTGTGCTCGCAAACCCGCCGTCCCTGTGCACAGGTTTGGGACAGAGATGGGGGTCGACATGCTGCCTAATGTGGCGACCCTGGTGCACGTGGCGCACCTAGCGTCTGCGGCGCACCTCGCTGGCTTCGAGCAACCGGCTGGCGTCTGCATTGGTTCCCGACGGTTGTCGATGGCGGCCCATGCCTATGCTGAGACTCGGGTGCTACCTCTGTAGTGGGACGGCGGGTGGGAGTGAGCCAGACGGCTTGCGGCGTTCTCGCTGGGAAATTGCCCCTCTCCTCTCCCCTGCCCTGGGTCTGGACGGGGGTGTGCCGAGGGGTTAGAGCACCCACGACGGCCCAGGATGGCTCCAGGAGGGTTGCCGAAGATGGCTTCTAAGATGTATCAAAAGATCAGAAGATTGCTTCCGATAGCTTCCAACATACCTCCGAGGCCCGGGGAGGCCCACAAGCCAACTCCAAATGCTCTGACCCCCCAGGACCGCCCCAAGAAACCAACATGCGTCAAGCGCACACTGTGTTTCAGCGTTGTTCTCCTTCTCGCCTTCTGATGCCCCAAGATTGCTAACAAGCTGGCCCACGGAAACCCCAAGAAGGATCCAAGATGGCTCCAACACGGCCTCAATCGCGAACAACGTCGCCCCAAGAGCGCCCGAAGAGGGCCTCGAGAAGCGGCTTCGAGGGGGGGGGAAACGACAATTAGGACTCCCTCTCTTTTGATCGATGCTCTCCAAAATGGTGCTCGGCAAGCCTCCCCGGCCCCCCACGAGGGCCAAAAGAGAGGAGCTCCAAGACGGTCCCAAGACCAAGACCCTCCCAGGGAGCGCCAACAAGTCTTCAAAAGAGCGCCAAAATAGAAGGCCCCAAAATGGTTCCTAGAGAGGCCCAATATGACGTCAAGAGGGCCCCAGGAAGACCCCAAGATAGCTCCAAAAATGCTCGTCGTCCTCTTCCTCGTCCTCGTCACTCTCCTCCACTTCATCCTCCTTTCCTCCTTGATTACACTCTTCCTTGATCGATGGCCTCCGAGATGGTCTCCAAGGCCTCCAAGAGGGCCCTGAGAAAGCCCCAAGAGGTTCCCACGAGGGCCCCAAGAGAAACCAACATGGTTTCAAACTTGCCCGAACTGCAAAGCCATGAAGATGGACTTACAAGGCGTGAACTGGCAAGGACTGCATCCCTTGGGACCACCTGTTCCCATGGATGCTGCGACACGTGGCATGTTGCGCCAACTGCTCTCAGCACAAGGGCGCACATAATGCGACGGCATATGATATCAGCAATGGAACCCTGTAAGCGCATCCGCTCGTGAACTTCGGCGAGATCGCGGTGGGCCGCGTTGCGATATACCCTCCAGGGTACAAGAAGAAACTGGACACGCAGTGACCAAAGGGCGTCTGGGTTGGCGCATGAAGAAAAGCAGCAATCACCCCCGCCTGCGCCCCAGCGGCACGATCACAAGAAGACCGTCGAGAGGCTTGCGCCTGAACGACATATCAACCCTGGGCTCATGAGGACCATCCAGTTCCAAGTCTCTGACCCAATGCTGTCGCGCGCGTGTGCGCTTCGCCCCATTTGTTGCGAACAGTTCTCGCGACAGCACGCACGCAAAGGCGTGCGAACGATTTCGGTATGCGCGCGCGGAACCCGTTAGGTAGCATGTTATGATCGGGTTGTAAACTATGTTTTTTGAAAAGGAATTCGCTAGAGAGCGCACAAGTTTTATATTCAAAATCAGTGTTGCGAAACGTGGTGTTTAAATATACACGTTTTTGACGCTCCCCTTGGACATCCTCACGACACCTAGGGTCCAGGAGGGATTTCGGCATGCGCGCGCGACGGCACGCGCGTGTGCACATCGTCCCATATGTTGCAACAGTTTCTTCGAACTGATGGTTGTTGATAAACGAGAGCGCGCACATATATATATATATATATGTTTTGCAGAGGATGACGGGGAGTATCGGTACCGGCCTGGACGGGGTGGTGTGAGTTCATATTTCAGATGGACGATGGGGCAGAATCGTTTGCAAACTGCAGTGCGAAAAAGGGGGCCGATAGTCCGGGGGGGAAATCTCTTCGCTCTGCAAAAAACGCCATTTATGTGGTGCATTTGGTTTGAACACGAGTTGATGCATGCCATGCTCTTGCAAACATCCCACCCACCCTGAGCAAAACCCATGCGGTGGCGATTGCGACGCATGCTTGGCGTTGGCTGGTGCATCGCTGCGGCCGCGCCAGCCCGCGCATGCACTTGCGCGCGGCGGCCAGCTAGCCTGTCGCGACCGGCGCGGCCGCGGTGGCGCTGACCGCTGGGCACACCCCATCGGGCACTTCACTGCGAGTCGGATACTTGTGCGGGCGCGGTGTCATGGCAACGTCGACAACGGTAGCCACGATGATGATAGTAGCGACGATAGTGACGATGTTGGCAACGACGACGGCACGGCCAGTGCGGGCGCCGAAGTTGATCACGCTGGCGGCGATGAAGGCGTCCTCGCGTCGGTGATGATGGTTTTGGAAAACTTCGGCATGCGTGCGAAGCCGACGCGCGAGTGTGGCGCGAATGGTACGATGTGAAGCGGATCGTGCCCCCCCAGCACGCGCGCAAAAGGCGTGCGAAGGATGTCGGCATGCGGCGCCCCAGGCCCGTTTAACAACATTCCATGAATATGTTAACAACAAATGAGTTACTACATAAGAATTCGCCAGAACGCGACCGCACGCTTTTTAAATAAAAACTGGCGCTGCAAAGCCATGTGTGTTTATACATGTGTTGAACACTGGGTTTTGACATCGCTACGCAACCTCGGGTTTTTAGGCGATTGAGGCATGCGCGCGCGACGACGCGCGCGTGTGCACTGCGTCAATTTGTTGCAACGGGTTCTCGCGACGGCACGCGCGCAAGGGCGTTCGAACGATTTCGACATGCGACGCGAGCGAAACCCGTGTGAAAGTGTTGAAGAACCAATGGGTTCCTTAAGAATTCGCAAGAACGCGCGCAAGTTTTGCTTGACAAATCCGTGTTGCGAAACCAGTTATGCTATATGTTTGGACACTCAATCTTGAAATCGTTTCGCAACCGAAAATGCTTGAAGGATTTCGGTATGCGCGCGCGACGGCGCGCGCGTTTGCACTTCGTCTCATTTCTTGCAACGGACTTTTGTCAACTGGTGATTTGTGCTGAACGAGTGCGCGCGCATAGCATTTGGCTGCAGGAGCTGACGGGGAGTGTCGAGGCCGGCCTGGCTGGGATTGTATGATTTCATATTTAACATGGGCGATGGGGCAAACACGTGTGTAAATTGCATTACGAAAAAGGGGGCGGATATTCCAGGGGGGGTCGAGTCTATTCTTAAAAAGAAAAGGAAGCTCATTTGTGGAACCCGCAGTTGTCAACTCCACTGCTCGCGCAATCGCCCCACCCACCCATCCGCAACTTGTCATGCAAAACACGAGCGGCGGCGATTGCCCTGAGTGTTTGGTGTTGGCTGGTGCATCTCTGCGGCCGCGTCAGCTCGCGCATGCATGTGCGCGCGGCGGCCAGCTAGCCTGTCGCGACCGACGCGGCCGCGGTGGCGCTGACCGCTGGGCACACCCCATCGGGCACTTCACTGCGAGTCGGCTGCTTGGGCGGGCGCGGTATCATGGCAATGTCGACAACAGTAGACACGATGATGATAGTAACGACGATCGTGACGATGTTGACAACGACGACGGCACGGTCAGTAACGGCACCGAAAATGCTCACGCCGATAACGATGACGGTGTCCTCGCGTTGACGAAGAACGTTTCGGAAGGACTTCGGCATGCGCGCGCGGCCGGCGCGCGAGAGAGGCCCGCACGGTATAAGTTGACACGGATCGTGCCCCCCCAGCGCGCGCGCAAAAGCGTGCGAATAATTTCGGCATGCGGCGCGAGAGGCTCGTTTGGCAGAGTTCAGTGGACATGTTGGAAAACTAGGGTTTTCATAAGAACTCGCCAGATCGCGACCGCAAGTTTTACTTGAAATTTGTTGTCGCGCAACCATACAATTTTTATTGGTTTCGGGCCGCTCGGTTTTGAACCCGTTGCGGAACCAGAGGTTTTTGACGGATGTCGGCCTGCGCGCGCGACGCGTGCGCGTGCACTGCGTCCTTTTTTTTGCAGCAAGACTATCTGGACAGCACGCGTGCAAAGGTCGTTCGAACGAGTTCGCCATGCGCGCGCGAAGCCCGTTTGGTAGCATGTTATGAACAATTTGGAACAACACAATGTTTTTTTTAGAATTCGCAAGACCGCGCGCGCATTTTTCCTCACAATCCGTGTTGCGATACCATGTGTTTGTATACGTTTTGAGGGCACTCGATTTTGACGCCATTGCGAAACCCATGTTTTTTTAGGGATGTCGGCAGGCGAGGGCGACGGCGCGCGCGTGTGCACTTCGTCCCATATGTTGCAAAGGGGTTCTTGAAAACTGATGATTTTGATCAGCGTGTGCGCGCGCATATTTTTTCTGCAGAAGATAATGGGGGGTCGATACAGGCCTGGTTGGGATGTCACAAGCTCATATTTGGGATGGACGCTGGGGCAGAATCACATGCAAAGTGCAATACGAAACGAACATCTATGTGACGGCGACGGCGGCGACGGGCGGCACCGCCCGCAAAAGCCGACACTCGCCCCGAACGGCGGCGACGGCGACGGCGACGGCGGCGACGGGCGGCACCGCCCGCAAAAGCCGCCACTCACCGCGAAATGGTCTGAGGAACGAAGCGTCCAACGCGAGCTTTGCGTCTCCCTTCGCTCCTCTTCCTGCTTCTCTCTCCATGCCCCTGCTCCTCCCCTTCCACCCCGCCGCCCCAGGGCGCCGCCTGCGCTGGCGACCCCGGCGTTCGCTGGTGTGCACGCCGGGAGGCCGCACTGCGGGGGGGGGAAGGGAGGCCAGGACGAAGAAGACGAGGAGCAGTGGGACAGGTGAAGGCGACGGGGAGGACGAAGACGACGGGCGAGGGAACCCAGGAAGGGGAAGATCGAGGAGGGAGGGGAAGGAGTGGGAGGTAAAGAGGAAGAGGCGGATGGAGCCTTGTCGCCCCAATGGTACCAACATGATGATCCAAAAAGTGCCATCTGTCTAGAAGTACGGCTCAATATCACGCCATGCATCTGGTGAACATGTGTACCCAATTGATATTCGAACGACCGACAGCACGGACAAGTCAAGAAGCAACGTTTGATCCGAGAGTCGACAACACCCTGAGTGCAGATCAGAAGAACATGGTGCATATGCTGGGTGGCGATGTGAGGCGCGTAGACCCCGGGGGCAAGGGGGCGCCGCGCGGGCGGGGCGGGGTTGGGTGGTGGCGGGGCGAACGGAGGGGAGCAGAGAGACACCACCTCGGGACCGCAATCGAGAGCGACGACCGTTTCGAACACATCCTGCCGCAGCGATACCAAGGATGGAATTTCGGGTCGGGCGAAAGGAGGGGATAGCAAAGGGGGGGCTTGAGCACCAGCTCACATCGCTGACTCTCCTGGCGCCTCCCAGCGCCGGAGGCGGCCATGTATCGAGGAATGGGCCCCTCGGTGAGGCCGAAACCAGCTGCATGCAGCAAATTTCGTACCCCCCCCTTTTTTCCCCAAATCCCCCCCTTCCGCCCGGCCCGAGAATCGGAAGCTCCGCCTGGGAGGGGGAGGGGGGGGAGGGGAGGGGAGGGGGAGGAGGGAGGGTGAGGGGGAGGGGAGGGGGGGGAGGGGGAGGAGGAGGAGAGGAGGAGAGGAGGAGGAGGAGGAGGAGGAGGAGGAGGAGGAGGAGGAGGAGGAGGAGGAAAGGGAGGGGGGAGGGGAGGAGGAGGAGGAGGAGGAGGAGGAGGAGGAGGAGGAGGAGGAGGAGGAGGAGGAGGAGGGGGGAGGAGGAGGGAGGAGGAGGAGGAGGAGGAGGAGG